GAATGATTTAACTGCATGATGTATGGTTTTTCCACTACTTTTGCAGACTGAGGCTGCTCCTGGGTCAGTGATAACTGATCATATGAAAAATAAAGAGATTTCTCAGTAAGGTTGCTGAGAATTTCAAGCAGCATGTTATGTGATACATTAACATCTGTATTTCTTTTGTTGCTCAGTTATCCTAGTAAGGCCTAACCTGGGGTTAGTAAGGAATTTTCCCACCCCATATACTACATTGTACAATTGATTAGGTACAGTGAACTGCTTCTGGCTTGCATCAGATATTTGTCACTGCCGGGGAAAGGATACTGAACTGTATGGCCTGTCTGAGCTATTATGGCAAACCGTATGTTTCTATCCTTTCATTACAATTAAAACAAGTTGCTGCATAACTTCATTATTTACTTTTAAAGTATCATGGACTATTGTATCTCAAATGTCCCTTAATACAGTGTCTTAGCATTATGTTCACAGGGTTTCTTAATACATATGGTAACCTAATACCAAGCTTTGGAAAATGTTGATAATATTGGAGACAGTTACAAAGTGCAGCCATTTCATATAAACTTGGTACTAATGAAAGCTACAATGACCTGTGGAGGAGATGTAGCACCAAATTCTTTTAATACTAGTTTCTTGTAGTGTAACACTTGAATAACATAACAGATACAAAGTTTGCAAAAGAGAAACATTCCCAAAGAAAAATAAACTGCATAATGCACCAACTCAGACTGTGGACATTAAATTATTTGGTACCTAGAAATTTAGCAGACTTAACCAATATAGTCCAGGCCTCTTTTACAAAATACATTTGTGTAATCTGAGACATCTGGCTTCCAAATATTCCATGGCCAAACATGACTCCTTGCAGTGCTGAGCACTTGCAGCTTTCAGTGACTTCCATTGGATGTGGTATCCTTATGGCTGCTCCTTGATCACATTCTCCAGTATGCATGAGAGGGTGCTATATTTCTTCCCAGAGGAGAATAAACTTTCATTACTTCTTAGTGGTGATTCATATTGGAAGGATAAAATTAGAGATTGGGTCCTTCCTTATCCAAATTACTGCTCAGTTTGCCAACTACGTAAGACATTGATTTAAAAGCCACTGAGATGCATTTCCCTTCTATTTGTGCCCCTGCAGTCAGTATTGAGGCAATGTAAGGTATTTAGTATGATTATGACAGTGTTTCCTTCTCTGTTTGACTTTTCTTGGTGATATTTTTTTCTGGGTAGACTAATTTAATCAACAAATTCAGACCCATGTCTCCCTCCCCACAGGTCCCTTCCACCCCTACATTCTATGATTTGTCAGCATTTATCAGATTTTACCATCGATTAACCATTAATTTGGGGGTAATTGCATAAACTGTGAGTGGTAGCTCATCACTGTAGAAGGCAACAGAAAAATCCCAAATATATTCACTGTGTGATTATGAAATACAGCATTTCCTCAGCATTTTTAGACAGGGTGGGGGAAAGTACATGTGCTAGTGGCTGTAGAAAATACCTAAACGAGTCAGAGTTCATCTGTCATATGTGCATGACTATTTAAAGGAGTGCAGGGAAAGAATGTTACTTATTTTTTTTAAGTAACTTCTTCTGTGTCTTGCTTTTTAAACTAATCAGGGGTGTAAACACTTTATTTCATGGAATGTGGCCAAATGAGACCGTTTAGGAGCTTGCTTATAAATATTTGTAACCCACTTAATTTTTGGTTAGAAAACTGTTAGTATGAAGACCTCAGCTATTCATTTCCCCCCATATTCTCATTGTTTTGCATATACCTCTTCATTTCTCATTTAATGTCTGTCTCTTCTCATAAGTTTTGTTCTTACAGGCTTATAGCCTCTATACAGTGGAGCCAAAGTGCTTTACTAATGGAGCTGGCCTCAGCAAAACTGACCAGCATCATGTGGCACTGGTCAGTTTCACAATCCAGCCATCTCCCTAGGTAATTAATTGATGCATAGATGGCAGTAGTCATCCATGTTGTTGCTCTGCATAGTCGAAGTTACAGGTTTATTGCTGAGTTCCCTAGAAATAGGCTGTAAGGGAGTTCTGGGAAGGTAACAGTTTTCTAGTTGGAAAACTACTACAGAGCAATGTCCTTGTCCCTTAATTCAGACTGTTTAAAGTTCATTTGAGAGCATAGTGATTGTCTGGTTTAACCCACATAGTTGCTATTAGGGCTCTTGAATGAACTCTTGCAGAAAAATGATAAGACAAAAACACCACATCACCTGTGGGTGAACACTTTTCACAAAGTGATCACTCTATAGCTGACTTCTCAGTCCTCATCCTCAAAGGAAACCTGCACAACACTTTCAAAAGACAAGCCATGGAGCTTAAATTCATAACTTTGCTAGACTAAAAATCATGGACTGAATAGAAACACTGGATTTATGGCTTATTAGAACAATCTATAACCCCTGACAACCTGTCCCCCTCCCCACCCAGCTTAGTTTCCCCCCCTCTTCCTTTTTTCCCTATGACTGGAGGGGTGTTAACATGCCACTTCACCTTGAGTGGTCCCTTGAAATGTGTTAACTACTTATGCTAAACAGTCTTTTCCACCTTGTATTTAGCTGTGAGACTCTGATGCCAGGTCTACACTACAGACTTTTCTATCAGTATAACTACATCATTCAGGGGTGTGAAAAATCCCTACCTTTGAGTGACATAGTTATACCAACCTAACCCTCGTCAGTGTGGACAGTGCTGTCAATGGGAGAGCTTCTTCTGTTGCACAGCTACTGTCTTTGGGAGGTGGATTAACTTAGCCAACAGGAGAAGCTTTCCTGTTAAGGTAGTAGAGTCTTCACTAAAGCGGCACAGCTGCATCACTGTACATGTAGACCAAACCCTACGTTTCCTAGACCTAAAGAAGAGCTCTGTGGAAGCTCGAAAGCTTGTGTCTCACCAACAGAAGTTGGTCCAATAAAAGATATTATCTCACCCCCTTTGTCACACTTACGCTTGAAATACAATACGCTTTGCATAATTCTGTATAATAAGATGTTTAAGAGAAAAAATAAGCATTATAGTGAAGAAAGGAAGGATGAATTTCAGAAGAGGTGTGTAAATATCCTTCAGATTATCAATATCTCTTTAATCCATCACCCTGTTGTGATGAAATTGAAAATAAATAAACCCTGTTATTCCATTATCTTGCAGTAATTTTTTTCTGCTATTACACCTGTCTAGTCAACAGAGGGAGCCTGAGCTAACTAAAAATTTACGTGTTAATATTCCCTCTAGTAAACCTTAAGAGCTTAAATGTTAGTTGGGGGCAGAAATTGCACTGTTTGTTCAGCTGTAATATTTATGCATCATAGAAAGCAGAGATGTAAAGATCTATTGGGTCCCATCTTGTCCATCTCCTATTGTGCCATTGTAGAATTGTTCTAGAGAGTATATTCTCCAGTCTAGAGTTGAATGATTCAAGAGCTGAGACATCCAGCGCTTCACTGGGGAGACTGTTGCACAGCATAATAGCTCTCACTGTTAAGACGCTTATCCTAGTATTCAGCCTAAATTTTCCTTCGCTCATTTTCATCCTTTTGCTACTATTTACAACCTCTTGGACCATCCTAAACAATTCATCTCTCTGCTTGTTTGCTTACATTTCTCAAATACTTGTAGGCTACTATTATATCCACCTTCTCCCCCGAAGTCATCATTTAGCTCTACATATTTGGTTATTTGAATCTATCCCTCCACTTCATAATAGTTTTTGCAGTGAGGTATATAGTTTCCTGTGTGATATATACTTAAGATGGGCAGTAGAGTATTTGCATGTTTCAAAGGGGAAAACTGCAGATTCTGGGGGGGGGGGGCAGAATTTCACCAGGCACAGACTTTCCTGCTAACCAGTTTTTCAAAAGGCTATAAGGAAATACTCCTCTCGTTATCTGGTTCTTACAGTATGTGGTAACCTTTTATTAACTGAAATATTGATGACTGCTTTTGTGCCGTGCCTCCAGAGCAGCAGCATGATAGCACATTTTCCATCTGTCCCACAGCTATACCACCTTATGTGAAAATTCTCTGAATGTGCAAGCTTAGCACAGTTAGATCTGATAGCACTTGGATGAGAGACTTCCCAGGACAGCCTAAAAGCTACATGAAGTGGTGTTAGTTTTTCAGTACTCTTCCTACTCAGTCAATATTGAATCAGTTTCTCCCAGCCTGGAGATTGGGGAACACTATGCTATTGGAAGTGCATATTTTGAATAAGACAAAAACCCAAGATGCTAACTACTTTGGGTATTAAAGATCTTTTCTCGGTTTTCATAAGAGAAGTGAGAACCCCAGTGACTTCTCCAAGTTCCGACTTGGATAATTACACTGCCTACCTGAAATCTCTCTGTAATTTCAAATTACTATGATCATTTCCTGCCTTAAAATGTAAGTGTTGAACAGCTAAAGGATAGATAGCATATAAGGTGACATGGGCTTTTTCTGGGTAAAAGGAGCTATGTAAATAATATTTTGCGTAAAACTTTCAAAAGCACATAAGATTCATTTTTAAAAGTGACTTTGGCTCTGAAGTGCCTAAATCCTGTTGACTTTCACTGAGATTTAGGCTTCTAAATTGCTCAGGCTCTTTTGAAAATGTTATCCTTAGATATATGGAAAGAATGGAGTCAGAGTTTATAGAAAACTGTAATTAAACACTTCAGTAACATTGAAGACAATAGTGAAATGCATGAACACATGGAGACAATTAAGATGTCCACATGCAACTTTTGGTATTTCCTAATTTTTGTGCGCTTAACCATGTAATCTTAACATTCTCTTAGGTGGATTATTATTTAATCCTGTAAAGAGATTTCATGATATACAAAAGCTGTGTTTTTTTGGGAGCAGAAACACTGTAGACATTTTTCCATTTTCTAATTTATCTTGGGTTTTCCACTTGCTGCATAGATCAGTTTACTTTCATGTTGTATTTTGTAATCACAGTAATTGAATGGTGAATCTTAATGTCATTATAGGAGATGGCATAAACAACGATTGAAGGACAAAGAGAAATGTCGAATGGCAGAAGAAGATTCTGATGAAAGTGACGCTGAATTTGATGAGGGTTTTAGAGTACCAGGATTTCTCTTCAGAAAGCTTTTTAAGTAGGTATCATATACTTTTAAAATATTGTACAGACTGTTTATGCAAATAAATAGTTTTTAGCTGTCATTTCCAAGTACCCTATCCTGTACTCAGATGAATAATCCCTGTGGCTTCTATTAAAAAATAGATGGATAATAAATGATTAAGTGACTATGGGGAATATCTATATATCAGCTAATCTAGTGGTAAAAGAAAGATTTAAGAACGGATTTTCATTGTAAAGAACACTTTCTGTTCTTGGCAATGCTAATGTTTACCTGGGGTATGGAGTGGAAGGAAACTTTATTTTTTTAAACTTGAAGATTAGCATACAGTGGCTGCAGCTGCTTTAGTTGTGGTGCATAAAAATTAGGAAAATGTTCACTTGTGTGATGGGAAGAGAGAGAGTTAAATACTTGGCAAAAACTGTGGGCAAGTCTCATCTTGAGAGAACTATTTTATAATCTATGTTAATTTTATTAAACTGCTATTTAATCTTAGACTAGATAAAATGCTCAGACATGTTAAGGTTGCAGTCTTGTACCCTACGTGGGGTGTAGACCTGCTGCAGGATTAATAGTACCCTCTGTATGTTAGAACATTTTGTCCAGTCTGATTTTAAATAATCAGACTGGACATGACTGTCCATCTTTCATTTCTGTGATAACCATGATGCTGAATGTAAATGTTGAGGGACACTTAGAAATCATTCAGCCTGGGCTCTTCTGTATAAGTCAATTTGTGTATCATAGAATATCAGGGTTGGAAGGGACCTCAGGAGGTCATCTAGTCCAACCCCCTGCTCAAAGCAGGACCAATCCCCAGACAGATTTTTGCCCCAAATTGCCCCCTCAAGGATTGAACTCACAACCCTGGGTTTAGCAGGCCAGTGCGCAAACCACTGAGCTATCCCTCCCCCTAAAGGCAATGCCAATAAGGCAGCTGACGAGTCAACTCATTACATAACTTCCCTTTGACTTTCATGCAATATTGATTTGAGTGTAGCTGTGGCTGGTGGTGTTCTGCACAGTAGGAAGACCATCTCCTCCCTGGAAAGATTAACTTTAAATCCTAGTAATTAATTAAAAAAAAAAATTTAGCTCTATAGATGGCTATTCTTTGTAATAGACATTGCATGGTATCCATTTAATCAGGAACAGTTAGTTTTATAACCTCAAAGAAATTACTACTTTTGTCCCACAGTTCCTCAGAATTAAAGAGCCAGCTCTGAAAGAGTAATTGAATAAATATTTGGTTGACAAGACCCTCGTCAGCCAATGTATTGTCTCGAATTGTTTATACAAAGAAATCCTCCTTAAAAACAGATCCAATTGAGGCAGGCAACTAAAAATTAATCTTAGCGATATAAGCCTCACTAATGAAGGGTATCCCTGCAAGCATGAGTCAGTTGGCAAAACTTCCTAAGTGGTTAAAAAGATCAATTGAGTTGAATGATTTGTCTGACTTGTAAGTTAAATGTTCAAGTCTCCTATGTATGAAGGCTCTCAGTCAATAGGCATTAAACTTTGAGTTCTGACCAAATTTGAGTACAAAGATGGCTGAATATTGACCTAAGGAAGCCTACAGTTGTAAATTCTACATGATGCTTTCTGACACTGTTTAATCGAATCCAAAACACATTTGCTCCCTTTGGTAGTAATATCTGATCTTTTAACTTTTTCAGTAAACTGTTTAAGCAATATAATGCTTCCTCACCATCTATTACTGTCTGCTCTTCAGAAGGTATAGTTAGATGAACTGTGTTCCTGCTGCTTAATATAGTGATGGAACCAGGTTTCAGGAATGCCAGTATAAGAACAAAACAAAAACTGGTGAGCAGGATTGCTTTTAATAAAGGCTAAGATTTTGACATGGATATTTTTATTAAAAGTCACGGACAGGATGCGGGCAATAAACAAAATCACGGAAATGTACACAAGGCCAGCATTAGAGAGTAGCAAGCAGAGCAATTGCCCGTGGACCCATGCCACAGGGAGCCCTGTGAAGCTATATTACGGGTGGTGGGGCTCCAGCTGAAGCCCTAGGCAGTGGGGTTCAGGCTTTGGCTGAAGCCCGAGCCCTGCCTCCCGGGGCTGAATTACTGGAATTTTGAGGAAGTTGCGGCAGTCTTGTAAAATCTCAGATCCGTGACTGACTCGTAGCCTTAAATAAAGCTATGTGACGCAGTGTACTGGCCATTTGAGGCCCCCTGCTGGTGGCCTTATGGTTCTACCACTCCCTGCCCCTGAAAAGGAGCAGTGAAGGTGGGTCCTCAAGGCATGCCTAGAAAGGCTGCAGGGAAGCAGCCAATTAGAGCACAGCAAGCTCAGTTAAAAGGAGCAGCAGGGCCTGCTGCCTGAGCATATCAGTTCTTGGCTGGGACCAGAAGTGGGAGGAAGTCCTGGGAAATGGAGAAAGTCTCTGGGCAAGGAGGCTTGGGGGAGGACCTGCTCAAGCAGGGATAATCTGGAAAAACTCTCCAGGCCAGGAGGGCTCAGAGAGACCCTGTGCAGCCAGGGAACAAGACAAATAGAACCTAAGGAGTGTAACCTAAGGTAACGGGTGAAAGTGATGGGACCAAGTGGCAAGCGGCCTGGGGAATAGCAGCAGCAACCAAGTAAATGAGGGCAACAGTGAACAGGGGGCACCGTGTGTGAGCGAGTGAGTGAGTGTGCAGGTTCACACCAACTGACAGGGAGCGCTTACGAGAGGTGAGTGCGCCCCGTCACAAGCCATAAATGTACAATTACTCTGCTATCTATGCTTCTACCTGAGAGAAGTCCTGTCTACACTGTGAGAAGTATTGTGTTGTGATACCCAATCACAACACAGTTCTTTCCAAATGCAAATAAAGCATACCTCTGTCCCACCCTGAAGATGAAAGTAAAATGTATAACTGAATCCATGCTGTAGCTGTGAAATTACAGGGCTTTGCATAATATGGTTAAAACACAATTCAATCATAGTTATGCTGGGAAGACCAAAAAGTATTTTAACTGGGTTCCCAACATGTTTTCATAATGAAGACCAGAACTTAGAAAACTAGTGCATTGAAAGCTGTCAGGATATGGGGAATTAGAATTAGTTTAGGATGATTGTATCTCACTAGAAGAGTATTAACTTGTCTCATCTCTTCCCTGTGCTGTCACTTCAGTTCTGTTTTCTCTGTTCCTGTATAAACTCTCCACTGTGTCCTGTAGTCATTAAAAGTGCTCTTCCTACTCGGGGAGGGAAACTAGTGTAAAAAATATGAGCATTTGGGAATAGTTAATATTTTTAATTAACATTTGTATGGTCACAATCATTGAATGCAGACAGAGTCAATATAAAAAATCACCACAATGCTCGTGAATCTGATAAGCAAAGGTAGAAAATAAGTTGTGAAGGAAAGCATTTTGACCTCTCTTTTACAGGGTCATATTTAACTAAAAAAACCTCATATTCCTGAAAATGTTTTACTTACTGTTTTACAATAATTCCTAAGATAACATAGCAGAGTAAAAAGAGACAGCATTTTGTGTACAGTCAGTTTTTTCCCTGTATAATGGCAAATATAAAAAAAAAAAAAAAAAAGCAGCTTGTGACAATGTTTTTAGCGTGGACACCTACTACAGTAGGATCATGTTAGCAAGAAATATGTTTAAAAACTGTACTTGCTAGACAAGTGCTAATGCTGTGAATATCCAGTATAGATGGGGCTTGATTATGTTATAAAACCGTTTACAAAACCATATAGGCAGGCCCTGTGGGCTTTGAAACCATATTTGCATCTTTGTAGTGGGAATCTTAAAACATTGTTCAGATTTAACATGGTGTGAGTTCTACTGTAATCACACCATGACTGGCTAGCAGTATGCCATTGCAGTAGGATTCTGAGATAATATCACAGGTCAGATGTCATGAAGGCGATCCAATACCCCAGTTGTGGGTGTAGAATGAAAACCTAGGTAAGAAGATAAAGCACCTATCTAAATACAGGCTTTGAAATCATTGTGAAGTGTTTTTCGTTCCTGCCTGTGGAATGGCTGTGCCTGTTGGGGGTGTCATGCAGATTAATAGTTTACCTCCTTAATGATAAGTAACATTCCAAGTATGCTTGGGAAACAACTGTTATGCTAGTCGGTCTTAATTGAAAACTGCTGTTAAGAACTACTTCTGATCTAAAATCAGTGAAAGGGGCAAAGGTATTTAACTATTTGAATCGACATTCCTTGGTAGTGTTTACATTTCAATACTCTTAAATGGCTTTCGTATCTCATTAAGGTGTCAGACCATAACACCTCTGCTATTGCTCTTGGAGAGGTTCCTAACTCCAGTTATAATTAGTAATACTGTAATTCTGCAAACCTTCCTTTCTTCATTTTTAGCTTTTTCCTTCCTGAAAAATGTTGGGTCCGTTCACACTACAAATCTTATGTTTAGGGGGATCCTTTTGTAATGCATTTGGGTCATCATCATGCTATGATGTGACCCCCTCAAGTGATAACATTTGTGGTGTTAGATGATTCTTTGATCTTCTCCTATCTTCTCAAATCCTTTTTTTCATTCTTATCTCATTTAGCCTTCCATCTGAATACCTAAGTTAAGAACCACATCCCAAATTTGTGTAATGATCAGTAAAACCGTAGTAGTCATTTATAAGGAGTTTGTAGACCTGAGTGTCTGTAGGCCAGAGTGTTCCAAAATATTCTTCATTCAAAGAAGGAAAACAGAATTACAAAAGAAAGTGTAAGAGAGTGCACTGTATGAACTGTCCCCATGCTATCAGTAGCTACATTTCTATACTCAACCTCTGCTCCACTCAACACTCATGTTACGGGGGTGGGGGAGGGAATCAGTAATGTTGGTCCTCCCTTGAATAACTAGTACACAAATGCTTCAACCGCCTTGGTATTTCCCTTTAAATGACTTATGTTTTTAAGTCTATCTTGCTTCATTTCTTTCACCCTCATGGCCTTTCAGTTTAAACTGTGTTTGTTTTTATTCACTATAATTCCTGCTTGCACTATTACGTATTGTTATAAAAAAACATGTCCTAAAATCAATTTCAATCTGGCCTCCCAACTCCGACCTTCTTGATTTTTCATTTTATATTCTTTCGTTAATCTGTGTTTAAATTGGGACGTATTCTACATGACTGTTCGTTCTGTTTCCAGTCTTTCACTTTGAATTGTAACTGCACTGGTATCCTCTTCTAGTAACACACTGCTACATCCTACTCTCTGAGACAGATCTTGTTTCTTTGCCTTCCAAAATTTTTTTGACGTCTGTCAGCTTTTTTCTTATTTAAAGAGGATGAATTCTGTTAAATGAATTTCTGGTTGTATATAAAGTAAACAAGCTTTAACAGACCTAACTGTTCATCTCTTGTAGTGGAGCATAAATCCCATGCATCACCAATTACAAGCCTAACCTTCCAATTAAGTCCAAATGGTATACCTTACTAGATGCCTACCTGTTAAAGTTCCCCCTTTCTGAAGGGATAATAAATATTTGAATGTTAGAGCAGCTTCCCAAGTTATTTCTAACAGTATTTTTAAAAATACATGAAATAAAATACCCTGTAATTACCATGTCTATCAGTTTAATTAGAAATGCTTTAGCATTGCATAAAGAATGAATTTGTCACATATAATGTCTAAATGCATCAAAAATGCATGACCTTGTAAATACAGCACTCATGTAAAACACACATGCAGCATGTTACTGTAACTAGTATTAGAACCTTGCCAAATGATTATTTCATGAGTACTTTCTGTTATGATCTGTATTATCAAACATTTGCCATGTTTTTTCCTTGTTGTTGTAGGTACCAGCAGACAGGTGTTAGGTGGCTCTGGGAATTGCACTGCCAGCAGGCAGGAGGAATTCTGGGAGATGAGATGGGATTGGGCAAGACCATCCAGATAATTGCCTTCTTGGCAGGTCTGAGCTACAGCAAGATCAGGACTCGTGGTTCAAATTACAGGCAAGTGCTCCTCTGCAGACTGTCAGTCTGTGGAGCTCAATTAATATTTCATCAGATGTATTGCTGGTGGAGGAGGGTCCTGTGAATTATTAATGACATTTCAATTACATTATTCCTTTAATTCTTTTAGTGGGGGACATCAAAGGAAATTTTTTACGAGACAATGGAGCTGTAGGGCAGGAAAAATTAAACATGTAACACTTTTAATGAATTCCAGGCATTGATGCTTCATTTTGCAGATGAGCCACACTAGATATTTTGGGTCAATACAATGTCTAAGGTTAGCTTACACAAATGGATTGTTTACAAACTCAATTACGTTAATATCAATAGTTTACACAATATGGAATTTTAAATTAGATGTAATACCTTTAGTTCCATTTATTAAATTTTACATTAAAATATTTGTTCTGGCAAGACACCAGGTGAATGCTTTACAGGAAGTAACAAGCATATTCAGGATGAAAGTCAGAGCTTCTGATGGGTAACGGAGCATCCTTGCAGAATCTTTTTTAAGACCAAAACAGATAAATCTACATCTGTGTTTTCTTCTGAAAGCCATTCTTTAGGTTGACCAGACTTCCATATCACACCCCTTATTACTCCTTCCATGTATCACTGAGTAGTACCTAAAGAAGGAATTTACTCTTATCTGTGGATGAGACAGATTACCAGAAGAAGATTCTTCTAAATCCTGGAATACCAAGTGCATGCATAATACTACTAATACTTTGTAGTTCTATAGCACCTTCTATCTTAGGATCTCAAATTACTAAATAGGATTTACTAAGAGAAGAAAATAAGTAATGAAAAGTGATTTTCAAACTGAATTAAATCTTTTCTTTGTTTAAAGAATACTTAACATGGTCGTAAATACTGTTAAAATGACTTACAAAATATAGCATCTTTCTAGAACGATCTTACCCGCAAGTAGCTTTACTAGCTGGGAAGAGGACACAAGTATAGAAAACATTGCTACCCTCCCCCACCTAGAGCTGGGCAAATAACTGATTTTTTTGGTTCACTGGGATTTCCAAAAAATCAAAAAAAAATTCACTACAACCAGAACCAAAGCCAAAAATTGTGGTAAATGTCAGCGAATCAAAAGTCAATTTTAAGTTAAATTTTAAGCATGTCATTTGACTTGAACCACTTTGTTTCTGGGCCTTTTTAAAAGTCTAGATTCACAAAACAGGAGGAGGTGGTGGTGTCTGTCCCTTCCTTTATAACTTTTTAGCCCAGTGTTTAGAGCATTCACTTGGGATATGGGAGACTCTGGTTCAAATTCCCCATCTGCCCGATGTGGAGCAGGGATTTGAGCTTGGGTCTCCTACTCACAGCAGAGTGCCCTAATCTCTGGGCTGTAGAGTAATCTAGGGCAGGTGTCTTCTCAATCTCTTCTATTGAGGCTGTTCTACTAGGTGAGCATTCTAATCACCAGGCTATAGTCATTTTTTCTCTCTCTCCCCTCCCTTCCTCCTTGCCCCCACCCACTAGTTACTATTCAAGTAATTTATACAGAGTGGAACAGCTTCAACAGGAGAGATTGAGAGAGACCTGCCCCAGAGGAACTTTGCCATCAGGTTATACAATTGGTGAAGCCCTGTAGTTATTTATTTTCCTGTGCCCTTCCGGACAATGTCAATGGACATGTTAAATTCTGTTGAGATAGGAGTGCTTCTGTTTCAGTACATGTGGCAATTTCCTAATATCGTATCCACAAAAATATGTTTACCCAATTGTCTTCAGTGCTGTCTAGTTCATGCCCCAATTTCTTTTTGAAAACAGTTTGCCTTTGCTGAGCAGTAAATACTGATATCTTCAGCTAATACTTGGAGTGCTCATGGTTCTATCACATTTCAGATGCTGTAGAGATGATCTGACCACAATTTTCTCATTGGCCTTTGTAGTTGGCGGCAGTGGTAGAGCTGCAAGTACCATAGTAGCATAATTGCTGAAACATCTGCATGGGTTTATTGGCAAAGCATGCTACTAGGAGTCAGGAAACACCCCACCCACCCCCCTTACACACACAACCCCCTGCCTCAAATTCTAATCCCAGCCAGGCCACTTACTCACTGTCTCTCTTTGAGTAATTACTTAAACTTTGTAGCCCAGGGTAATTTTGCAAAATGTTTTAAACAGTTGCTAATAGTAGTTAGCTGCAGTAGGGTTGACAACTAAGGGAGTACGAGTGTAGACAAGTACCAGCCTTGCTTGTCCTACTTTTTTCTTATTTCATATTGCAGTCATTAGTGAGCATAGTGCTTTACAGGCAAATAAAAAGAAAAAGTACACACTGAAGCTTAGTTGGCATTATTAGTTGGCTGAAGCTATGGAGAGTGTGGGAATGGTGACAGAAGTCAGGGGGAGATACTGCCTTTCTCAAGAAGAGCAAGATATAAAAGGTGCCATGACAGTGTGGGTTACTTGTTAGTAGTGTCCTTTTATTAAAAAGGTAATTACGTGTGTTTCATTTCATTGAGGGAACTGGAGTTGATAGCCTTGCAAAAATGAGTTTTGAGGAGAACTTTGAATGAGGACACGGTGAACATTAGATCTGGGAAACGTAACCAAGCTTTTCTTCCCCCTTGCTAGAGTAATCGATTCCAAGGCCAGGAGGGATCACTGTGATGATATAGTCTGACCTCCTCTGTAACACAGGCAATAGAACATCCCCAAAATCATTCCTAGAGCAGATCTTTAGAGAAACATCCAGTCTTGATTTAAAAAATTGCTAATGATGGCGAATCCACCATGACACTTGATAAATTGTACCAATGGTTAATTAATCTCACTGTTTAAAAAATTGTGAATAATTTCCAGTCTGAATGTGTCTGGCTTCAACTTCAAGCCATTGAATGGTGTTATACCTTTCTCTGCTCAATTGAAGAGCCCATTATCAAATTTTGTTCCCCATGGTAGGTACTTATAGACTATGATCAAGTCACCCTTAACTTTCTCTTAGTTAAGCTACATAGTTAGAATTCCTTGAGTCTGTCACTATCATGTGTGTTTTCTAATATTTAAATCATTCTTGTGGCTTTTCTCTGAACTCTCTCCAATTTATCAACATCCTTCTTGAATTGTGGACACTAGAACTGGAGACAGTATTCCAGCAGTGGTTACACCAGTGCCAAATACAGAGGTAAAATACCCTCTCTACGCCTCCTCAGGATTCCCCTGTTTATTCATCCAAGGATTTTATTAGCCCTTCTGGCCACAGCATTGCACTGGAAGCTCATGTTCAGCTGATTCTCCACCATGACCCACAAATCTTTTACAGAGTTGCTGTGGCCCAGGAGTGAGTCCCCTATCCTGTAAGTATGAAGTATATACTTGGCATGACGGATTTGACAGAGAGATCGGGTTTCAATAAAGACAATAATGGCTGGACCAATGTTCCTGGTAAATGTGGCCCCTACATGAGTCACCTCTATAAACCCTGGAGGCCGCATGGCTACAGGCAAGACAGGTTCACGATATCCATGTGACAGGCTCCCTCTGAGATTGCACTGCTTGGGGGAAGTCTATAGAGAATTTACAATGTAGAAAGGACTTTCAGATATCTGATTCCAATCATGGGAGGGGAAGCCCACAGAGAGGGACATTGTAATGAGGGCACTAGAAGCAAAATTTTCCAAATCGGGTGTCTTAGGTTGTGCCCTAAATAAAAGTTGCCTCATTTTCAGAGGTGCAGAGCAACCCCAGCTTCCACGAAGTAAAGATTCAGGAACCTAACTATAGACACCAAGGGTTGAAAATGCTGGCATAAGTCTCTTCAGGAATCCACACTTCACATAAATGGCCTGGAGATGAGTGCAGCGTTATATGGTGTTTGGGGTTTTGAAGATCTACAGTGAAATCTTGGCCACATTGAAATCAGTGGGAGTTTTGCCATTCACATCAATGGGACCAGGATTTCACCTCTTAGTATATCAAGAGGTGCATCTGATTCAGACTGACAGTCGGAACGCTGATAAGAGTATGATAGGGGAGGATGGCGTCTCACTTCCTGTGTTGGAAAGCCCTGCAGGGTGGAATTGGAAACTGTCCCTAAAAGACAGTCCTGCGTGTCACTTATTTGATAAGGATGGGCAAAACTATTGCAGACAGACTGAGCCTACCATAATACACCATCATGAGTGGTCCTGGATAAAAGGCTGGAGAAGTATCTCTGTCACATTTCTGAATACAAAGTTACTAATTTACTACATAAGAAACCAGACTCAGACACTCATACCATAGTGGCCATAAATGTCTTCCCTTGTCTGTGTACTTGGACCATCACATAAGCCATACCCTCCCTCTGCCTCCCTACTTCCTCTGGCCTATTAGTTACTGACTGACACAGAATTAGTTCTTACTTGGCAGTTGCTGATTGCATCAAAATGAGGACCTCAGCATGCATGAGCAGACAAACATGTTCCTTCTCTCCATGATACCCTGGAATCTTATAAGCATGGCTCCTGATAGGGTAGACATTGAAGAGGTTGCTGTTTCTGAGCAGGTGTCCAAGTGATTCTAGCTGCCCAGAAGGCATCTATTGGAAGGGCATATAATTTCAACTGGAAAAGGTTTGTGAACTGGAGTGAAAAGACCTAGGGGTGGATCATTTTATTTATCTCCCAAAAAACTTTACCAGGCTTCTTTGCCCTTCTCAGTCTTGGTTACAGATCCCACCCATCAGAGTTTATTTGGCTGCTGTTTCATTTGCTGCAGGTAGATAAATTTCTGCTCTGTTTTCTGTGCAGATTCTGGCAAGACTTCACAAACTCTTTGTTAAAAGGACCCTTGTCCTTCATCTGGAGTGTACTGAGGTCCTTGGAACATCCTCCAGATTTTTCTCTCACTTCAGTCAGATGCATTAAGTCAAACTGTCTCCAGGAGAACCATGTCTAAATGGTCAGCTGGTTGGCTGACTGCATTCTTTGTTGCTTTTCCTCGGCAGGCCTGCTAAGGCACAGTTATATTAATCACATGAGTCTTGAATATCATTTTGATGCATTTCACTTTCTCTCTGAAGCTGTCTCTGCACTTTGAGGAGGAGGTGTAATTCCCAGCTCAAGAAGACATACTCTCACTAGCTTTGATTGAGCTAGTGTGTTAAAAATAGAGTGTAGCTCTGGTGGCTGGAGGGGCTAGCCATCTGAGTGTGTCTCTATCATCTTAGACAGGTATTTACTCAAGAAGGCTAGCGGTTTATAGTGCCATGGTTACACTATTGTATTCCCTTGACATGGGAATCACACCTCCAGCTCAGTCTAGACAACCTTAGAGGCAGGGAAGGGCCTGCTGTACCCTTTCAGCTGGAGCACCCACTGCCTGCCAGTGAAGAAAGTGAGGAACTTTGCAAGTCTAGTAATTCACTGGGAGGTGGATTCAAGAGTTAAGAATCTCTTATAATTACAACCCTCTGAGTACAAGATTTACAGGTCAATAGTTTTCCTTTTTTTCCCTCCGACCTCTTCAGGTAGCTAGAATGGATTTTCTCCAAACCTCCGAAACAATCCATCTCGATTGAAACCAAGCATGAGAAACTAGCTGCTGTGGTAATTTTGAGAGAGTGATAATCCACTGAATATGAATGTTTAAAGGCAAAGTTCCTTCTCAATACTGTCCGTAGTGTCCTAACAGCACTGAAGATCTTCAGTAGTTTTATATTAACTAGGCATCTGATAACTACTTTGGCTTGTATTACAAGGGTACGTCTACACTTACCGGAGGGTCCGGCGGCAGGCAATCGATGTTCTGGGATCGATCCCGGAAGTGCTCGCCGTCGACGCCGGTACTCCAGCTCGGCGAGAGGAGTACGCGGCATCGACGGGGGAGCCTTCCTGCCGCGTCTGGACCCGCGGTAAGTTCGGACTAAGGTACTTCGAATTCAGCTACGTTATTAACGTAGCTGAATTTGCATACCTTAGTCCGAAGTGGGGGAGTAGTGTAGACCAGGCCCAAGTCTTGCTTTTTATGCTACGGTTGAACAAATCAGAAAATGGTAGGATTTCATTAGATCATTGATGAGCAGTCTAATTTCTGTTTGAAGTTTACAAAGCAGAATGCCACATTGAGCCTAGGGAAACAAAAAGGCAGCCCTGAAATTTGGGGCTAGAAATGAAAACCTGCCTGCCTTTAGTAGGAATCCTTTGAGTGCTGCAGCCAGTGCTGATAATAAGCAGCAGACTCAAATCAATTAACCATCAATATTCATATCCTGTGATCCATAATGAAAGAGTATGGTATATTGGATTATAGCTCAGATCTCTCATTAATATCGTATTGTGGGGAAAAGGCTTCAATAAAAGAATGTGTGGTATATTAACCCAAGAAGTAAATCAATTGTGAATGAAAGTGCCCACAAGAACATAGTATCTCTTGACATTAAAACAGTTGCCTTTTGAGAGCCAAAGAACAAGCCAGGTTACACTTCTCTCCCTCTCTCTTCATTGGAAGCTGTTTGTGAGTTCTGATTCAGTTTGTTTCCATAGTTTTAGCTCTTTTTGTTTTTAAACTGTGTTTGAACTCTTTGAAAACTTGAAATTGGGTGAAACTTGCTTGGGCTTGGGTTATATCAGGCCTCCAAACTGCCCAGGTTTGTGAACCCAGTGAACAAACCCAAACTGATTTTTTTTAAATGAACCCCCTTTTTTTCATGCGAGTTCTAGGGAGGGATTCAGTTTCAACTCATTGTTTTACATGTTTTTGATCAGACGCTTTCTTGCCTGTGTGTTACTTTGAAATGAACTTCCAGGGAAGGGTGGGTGGGTTGCAAACACCTGTGAAGTGGAACAGATTACAAAACCCCTGCAAACCAAAACTGACAAACTTTACACAGCTTGGGAGATTTTTGGTTTGGAGTTTTGAGTTTGCAGCACTGGCAGAGAGGAGTTATGCCAGTGCTACCCAAGTGCTATACCTTGTTTTCTGAATCCATTTTAAATACCATTTCAGCTGCTCAAGTCGAGCTGCCTACTTCAATTGTCAAAGGTGCTCTTTGGGCCCATTTGCACTGGCTAGCTAAACCCATGCGGTTTTAAAGAAACTGCTGAAGTATGAGTGTAAAGGGGACAAAGGATTATCAGTGTCCGAAAGGGATTATGGGGTTACAGAGCGATATAAATGTCAGAGAATTACATTAATTAGGGATTATTCTAAACTAGTTGAGTCTGGTTGTTTATAATGAGGAGCCTGTGTTCTTTCTGCTGTTTGTGAGTAAACATTTGAATAGCCTGTCACTTTATTTACTTTGCATGGAGCTTTTCAGATTTAAGGGGAAAAAAGCCATGGTCCCTGCCTGAAGAGTTTAAAGTCTGAAGAAGGATCGTCCAGTGGTTAGGGCAGTAGATTAAGATGTGGTCGGCCTGGGTTCAAGTCCCAACTCTGCTACAGACTTCCTGTCTGACCTTAGGCAAGTCACTTAGTCTCTCTGTGCCTCCATTCCCCATCTTTATTCCTCACTGTGGGGTATAATAGCCTTTCCCTAACTCACTGTGGTGTAGTGAGCATAATTAGGAGATTGTGATGTACTCAGACACCACAAGTTAGGGCCATGAAAGTACCTAAAACAGACTAATTAGATATAGAGAGAGCCTGAAGATAGCAAAGAATGAGGGTAGGGAGAAGGGGCACAGGAATTAAAACAAATAAGTGTATTGTAGCAGGTGAATCTCATACATTCTGCTTTTTTTTTTAATAGACTGAGGTGGGGAAGGAGGAGAAAGAAACATCACAGTAATGGAAGCTGGTGATGGAGAGCAAGGAGGGGAGCAAGGGCTATTAGTGCACAGACATTTTTCCACACAGAGGGAGCTGAGGCTGGGGGAAGAATGAAGTGGAGAAATGAGGCTAGAACGAGCAGGATCTCTTGTCATTCTGGAAACCTATACATTAAATAACCAGAATCCTTCATAAAATGTCCCCAGTCTCTGAAACACTGTTATCCTTTTTTTTGTGGCTGTTCTAGTTTGTTTCCTTCCTGGCTATTTATCAGTAATCTAGAGGTGTTTAGTGATTTCTCTTCAGTCTCTCACAGATAATACCTCTTGAAATGCACATGATTTTCCACATCAGTTTTGCATGACTTGAAAATACAGATGTATGTGATTGTGGTAAAGATGACTTATGTACGTACGTACGTATGTATGTATGTATGTATGTTGATGTTTCAAGGTAGAGAATATTTTAACAGTAAAACAGTATCATTTTGGGTTGAGATTTTTCCTGCTGTTGTATCTTCTCTATGATAGTCTGTCAGTATTTCTACCTGGACTAACCCTGTGTGTCTCTTATTTAAAAAAAAAAAAAAAAAAAAAAAAAGGAGAGAGAGAGAAAGTATTTTCCTTCTGACGAGCAGGATAGCTATGAATTCAACTATATCTTCCTGGAGTTTGTTCCTAACAGTATACGTCTTCCTCAGAGAGAGAGAGAGAGAGAGAGAAAAGGGGTCAGATGTGAACAAAAGAAGTGGGAGCCAGGGAAGTTCTAATCCTAGCTCTGACACTGACTTCATCTGTAGATTTTGGCAGATCGTTTTGCCTGTCTGCCTCAGTATCCCCACTTCTAAAATGGGGGTCTGATACTACCTCATAGGGTGTTGAGGTAGTTTCTTTTAAAGAGCTTGAATATGAAATATGCTCTAATTGTGTGCCTTTAATAAAAAGGATACAAGACAGAGCCCAAAACTAGTCAGAACTCCAAGTATTTTTGGTTTTAAAGTTGTATATTCTTTATTACCAACATAATGCAAAACGTTAGCGTATAATGATGTGGGCAAACTCTTTTTTCACAAAATGATCACTTTCATATCTGACCTCTCAGTCCTTTTTCTGAAAGGAAACCTGCATAACCCCTTCAAAAGACGAGCCTGGGAGCTTATATTCATAACTGTGCTAGACACTAAAAATCATGTATGTAATAGAGATACTTTTTATGTCTCATTACACCAATCTGTAACCCTCTAACCCTCCTTTGCTCTATGACTGCAGTGCTGTTAATTGTCCACTTCATCTTGAATGGTCTCTTGCAACATGTGTTAACTCCTTATCTGTTCCACCTTGTATTTAGCTGTGTCACTGTTTACCTTCCCAGACCTGAAGAAGAGTTCCCTGGAGCTTGAAAGGTTGTTTCTTTCACTAACAGAAGTTGGTGCAATAAAAGTCCTTACCTCACCCACACTGTGTATAATAAGATGCTTGAGAGAATGTAAGCCCCCATTTGTTTTTAGCCAGCATGCAAGTAAAAAATGTTGGCAGTTGATAATTTCGGTTCTTTTAAAGAGACATCGTGCATCCTAAATCTGATTTGCATTACCACAGTACTCTTTTACCATTTTGTTTGGAGCTTTTCTATTTCTGTATTTATATGGATAAATGCATCCATTAACTGTTCAACTGTTGTAGCTGTACCCTTTACCCCTTTCATCATGCTTTAAAAAAAAAATGCCAATCAATTTCCTTAGCTTGCATATTCTACTTGAACTATTGAGTGTCTGTTGGTTACTTTAATGGGTCACTTAATATAGCGTATTTATTTCACATTAATGTTTTCTTCCTGAATGTTTTATTTTAGGTTTAAAGGTTTGGGCCCAACGGTGATTGTGTGTCCAACCACAGTGATGCATCAGTGGGTGAAAGAATTCCACAGTTGGTGGCCTCCCTTTAGAGTTGCAGTTCTACATGAAACTGGCTCTTACACCAACAAAAAGGTAGCATTTGAAAAGTGTGTGTGTGTACTTTGTGTTATCTCAGTATATAGGGTTGTATATCCATTATTCCTGAAGATTTGTGTGTATGCTTCTTTTTTTTTTTTTTTTTTTTTTTTAATTGTTTTATTCTTTAAAACATTCTCAGTGATGTGCATAGATTCTCTGGGAAACGCAACGAAAAAAAGTGATGACTAAACCGTAATGTAACCAAGAAGTCTGTATTGGTCTTAACATTAACGCATGCTTCCATAATAAGCAGTGCTCTCGCACAGAATTTATTGTTCGCCATGCCATAGCTCACAATACTCCGACATACTAAAAACCATCCCAGACCCCTTCCAGTGTACCCTGGGGGAAGGGAATCCTTCTTGACCCCCGTGTCTGAGGACTAGTTTAACCAGGTGCATGTGAGCAAAAATTCCCATACCATGTCATGTAACCCTGTTCACACCCTACTGTGTTGATGTCCATGTAATATTCAACATGTCTTTCTTGAATCTTGTCACATTGGATTCTTCTACCTCCAGAGGCAAAAAATTCCAAACACAGCTCATGCTCTTGACGGAGGGAGAGAGTTGTCCTTGCATCAGTTTAACTAAACTTTTGTCATCTGAGTTTAATTCCCAGGAGTCCACATTTTCCTTTTGCTGTCTTCTAAATCAATGCAGTCCTCTCTAGGTACTTTTGCAGTGTAATATAAGCCTACATGCACATGGTGAGCACAAATAAATTCCTCCTCTTCAAATTTTAGAGTCTGAAGGCTCAATCCAGAAAGGTGCTGAGCATTGTCAACTCCCTCTGAGTTAAGTGTAGTCTTGATCATTTAAGTAACTCTTTTCTGTACATTCCCGTAGAGGTAAGGTGCTCTCAAGTAAGTGTTCACCATTGTGCAAGGCCATGGTGTAATTGTTTCCTTTGCCTTGTATATAATTAGGAAACAGCGTATGAAATTATTAGCCTTCTTTTCTGCGAATGATCAGTGTATCTAAGAACCTATTTGTGTACAGACTACTGGTACTGGAGAATTCTTTCATTGTGCTATCCTGCATCAGAAGAGCCTTGATCCAATCTTTAATTCATTCCACCTTACACACACACACGTCCACTTTTTTTTATTTATTTGGTCATTATCTCAGTTTAAATCAATGAGTCCCACTCCCTTAGAGCAGTGACAGTGTAACTTTTTTCTCTGACAATGTCTCTGCTACTCTTTCACTTCTGGAGTAACCTTTAATTTTATAAAATTGTATTCCACTTCTCAAACTGATGAAATCCGTTTCACATGAAGTTTCAATATTTGGTACTTGTCGGAAAGAAAATGAGAAGAATATTTAGATTTGTTTTCGGCTTCAGTTTCAGGCGCTTAAGTGAGTTTGCAGAATTCAGTAAACGATTTTAAAATTTCTCTTTAAATATTTATTGAATTTCTTGTAATAATATTACAGTGGTATGGCTCTTAATTGCATTTGATTAAATGTATTATGAAATAATCGATACAATTACAGTACACAGCAAAAAATGAACAGCACACTGAGAAATGTGCTAATAGCTTCCTGTTGCTCAATTAACTCAGTGTCTTCATTCAAGCCCTAAAAGTCTACTGACCACAATAATATGCTTGCATGTTTTCCTAAATTAAATCATGCATACTTATTTTAGTGTTTTTGTTAATTAATGAACCTGTCTAACTTACACAGAATTTCTACTAGTAGGGAGAGAGGTACACTGAAGACTTCAGGACTCCCAACTCTGTCCCACCATCTAAATAATCAACAGTTCAAATACCTTCTGCTGATGTCTCTTTAAATATTTTTATTTGTGTTACCGTAGCACCTGGAGCCTTAGGTATGGACAGGCACCCCATTGTGATAGGTGCTATACAAACACAAAACAAAAAGACCCTCCCTGCTCCAAGAAACTTACAGTCTAAGGGCTAGTCTACACTGGCAACGCTTGTGGTTTGTGTGGTCATGGCTCTAAAAACCCATCTCCACGAGGGACGTAGTAGTTCCCAGCGCTGGTGCACTGTCTACACTGGTGCTTTACAGCGCTGAAACTTGCTGCGCTCAGGGGGGTGTTTTTTCACACCCCTGAGCGAGAAAGTTGCAGCGCTGTAAATTGCCAGTGTAGACAAGCATAAGTATAAGACAAGAAACAACAGATGGATACAGACAGATGGGGGGTGGAGGGGGATTACAAGTAAACAATGAGGCAATAGTGATCAGCAGCATAGGCAGTGGCCTCTGCACAACAAAAGCAATAATGGCACTCTGCACCTTGGAGCCCTGAAAGAGAATGTCTTACGCCAGGGTGTCAAGGAATATCAGCATGGTCTGAAACTCATACATTGCTCATGGCTATATGCCACAGTTTTTCCTACTCACTCCATAGCCAAAAAGGGTCAGTTTGTGTGTCCAATTAAATTAAATCCCTTCGTAAAATCTGTGTTGGCACTTCATTGGTCTTGGAGTGAAGGAGTCTGTTACTGTTACGATTTCATTAAAACAAATACAATTTACAACATCGTGAAATCTGATCCTGCAAAATAAGTAGTTCTTTAGGCTTGTTCTTTCCTATTTCAAATTCTTCCTCAATACACACTTACTCTTTGAAGCTGACCTACCACTTACAGAAGGTTTACACAACAGTAATGCAGTGATTCCATCTCCTGATCACCTGTGACCTTAAATATAGTTTGCTATTCATCTGTTCAGATTGTATAGTGTTTGATTCAGGGACCCTGCTGCCCCTTTGTGCTGACAATACTGAGTTCAGTAAATAAATATGAATATTGTGATGAGAGATAAGCAGGTTTGCTTACTTAAAGATGAAATTGAAGTGATAAAAAGTAAAATCAGAGTCCACCTGTTCTCTCAGTACAACCCAGAGGTGTTTGGTTCTTAAATGACAGTTCTAGGACTGGCTTATTAATCTAGCGGTATATCATAATGTGTTACCATGTGACATGTGAGTTTTGAGCTTGATACTTTTGCTTTTCAGGCAAACAGGATCTGGGAGCCCTGCAGTGGTAGCATACTCTGCCCCTGATTGGGAGGGACCAGTGGTGGGCCACCTGTGGCTCATCAGGGTAATCTGCTGTCAGGCTGCCAGACCATTTGTTTAAGTTTGCACAGCTGCCCACAGCTCCCAGTGGTTTGCCGTTCCTGCCCAATGGGGGCTGCAGGAAGTGGTGTGGGTGCAAATGTAAACAAACGGTCTGCCAACGGATTACCCTGATGGGCCCCAGGTTGCCCACCATTGGGAGGGACCCTTCACTCCCTAGGCTGGCAGGGATGAGAGTGGTGTGGGTCCGTGCAGAGTGATTAATGGCTCCTCTGAATTAACCAATGAATTAACCAGAGGTTACAGGAAAAGTGTTAACAAGTTCCAGGGGACGCTGCAGTCAGATGCCCTTGGTCAGAAGAACATTCACAACAGTAGTCTTATAAGAGGCGCTCTGGGATGCATGAGAGGGCAAATGACTCCCAAGAAGCCAAAAATATTCAGCTCCTACATCTGATGAATAAAATTTAGCTATATGGCAAAAAAAAAAAAATGGAATAGGAATTGACATGTGGCCTTTTGGACATGGTAGTAACTGCAAAGTATACCTAAGAGGCAACAGGACAAGAGTTTTATAAATCTTCAAACGAACCTTGAATTCTTTAACTAGAAGTTGAGAAAATATCTAGATCTACTGTACTATTACTGTTGTACTGCCTTGCATCCTGGGATCTCCAAGCGTTTTACAAACATTAACCCTACTAAACATTTTATTCACTTTACATCTAGTTATACTGTGCCTTTGAAGTTGTCGTTTCCCCCCCCCCCCCCAAAAGTTGCTCATTGCACATTATAGCAATGTAACCATGATTGTTTTCCTGTGAATTAGTACTGGGCAATGCATTGAGCTTTATTTAGTCTAGTGACACTGGAGCCACCAGTTCCGATGAGTAAATGTGGAAGTTAGACAGTTTCTCCCAATATCTAATCTAAGTTTTCCTTGCTGCAGATTTAAGCCCATTACTTTTTGGCTTTCGTTTAGAGGACATGGAGAACAATTGATCACCATCCTCTTTATAACAGCCCTTAACATATTTGGAGACAGTTATCAGGTCTCTCCTCAGTCTTCTTTTCTCAAGGTTAAACAAGCCCAGTTTCTTCAACATTTCCTCATAGGTCAGGTTTTCTAAACTTTTTATCATTTTTGTTGCTCTCCTCTGGACTCTTTCCAATTTGTCCACATCTTTTCTAAAGCATCGCACCCAGAATTAGACACAGTACTTTAGCTGAAGCTTCATTAGCGCTAAGTAGAGTGGGAGAGTTACCTTCTGTGTCTTAAACATTGCACTCCGGTTAATATAGCCTAGAATGATATTAGCCATTTTTGCAACTGCATCACATTGTTGACTCGTATTCAATTTATGATCCATTATAAATCCTGATCCTTTTCAGCTGTGCTACCACCTAGCCAGCTGTTCCCCATTTTGTAGTTATATATTTGATTTTTCCTTCCTAAGTGAAATACTTTGCACTTGTCTTTATTGAATTTCATCTTGTTGAGTTCAGACCAGTTCTCTAATTTGTCAAGGTCATCCTGAATTCTAATCCTGTCCTCCAAAGTGCTTGCAATGCCTCTGAGCTTGGTGTCATCTGCAGATTTTATAAGCATACTGTGCACTCCATTATCCAAGTCATTAATGCAAATATTGACTATTACCAGACCTAGAACTGATCCCCTGTGGGACCCCACTGGATACGCCCTCCCATTTTCACAGCAAGCCCATTGATAACTATTCTGAGTGTAGTCTTTCAACTAATTGTGTACCCACTTTATAGTTTTCACCTAGACTGCAAATCATGTGGAACTGTATCAAAAGCCTTACTAAAATCAAGATATATTACATTTACTGCTTTCCCCCTATGCAGTAGCCCAGGAACCCTGTCAAAGGAGGAAATTTAGGTTATTTGGCATGATTTGTTCTTGACAAATCCAGGCT